AACCCTAAGGTCACCCTATCTCTCCTAAATGGGATAGTTAATACTGACCAGGTGCAATCTCATCACTCTGACTACACAAAAGAAAAGTTTGCCATGACAAATGTCACCTCATGTATGAGGCGTTATACACACACTGCTTGTCAACATGAAAGTTTCCAATAAACTAATATTTAATTGTTACTATCTTAAATTTAAAAAATGTTTGATTTTTGACTGAAACAAATAATTAATATTCTTATAAAATGTGGAAGGATCGGTTTTAAGAATTGGAGATCATGACAAGATTTTCTCTATTCCAATTCTGATACCTGGAAAATCCAATTTCTGATTCTGCTTCCAGTTAATTGTTTCATCATTAATTTTAATATTGCTTATAGTTCAAATGAATTTCTATATTATTCTTGAATAAAGCACAAAATTTGATTCTGAATAGTTAGACTGAGTTTTTTCCAGTATAGTAATTAATTTTATTTAGAAGTATTTATTTTTATTATTTTTATTTTTTAGATTTTATTTCATAATTTTGTTGTAAATAAATATATTATTTAATACAAAGATAAAATATTAGTTGAAATGTTGATGGAATTAATCATTTATCTCACATTTTTTATAAGTAATTTGAATTGATATTTTTAAATAAACAGTTGTCATGTTCTTTAAATTTGTTAATAAATGTTAATGTTTTTATTTACTATAGTAAAGTACATTTTAACAACATAAATTATTTTTTTTAGGTATAATAATTATAAAAAGCTTCTAAATTTAAAAAATTAATTACTGTCACAACAAACTACATTGATGATAAATCATTTAGTTGTTACAATTTATCACTAATGTTAAATGAAAATTTTAATCAAATGTGTCTTGTAACTGATAAATTGATGGAATATTGTAAGAATGGAAATCATAAAAGTAGAAATTTTAAGGCAATTATTTCTGTTTAAATAATTTTGATCTTATATAATATTGTAAGACCTTCTGATAAAACTATTTTGTATGTATAGTTTGTATTTTTTTATAGAGAATTATAGTAAGTGATAAAAAATGCCTTAGAATTTGTATTTTGTGATTTTGTTCTGTATCATATATACAGAATATGTATAGTTAATTTGGTTGATTAAAATTGTAACTTTTTTGTTTATAAATAGGGCTAAATAAATCCTGAACATAAAATATAACTTGTTGAAACTAATTCTTAAATTGTGGAAAAAAATTGTTTGGCTATATTTATATATGTATATACATTTATTTTAATTATAATAATTTTATATGTTTTATCTATTAAATATATATATTAAATAGATAAAATATATAATAATGGTGTATTAAAGTATAATTTTATGTAAAACATATGACAAGTTAATGTATGTTAGATAAAAGTGATTTATGCTGTATTCTTCAATATCATTAGAAATTAGTTGGCATGTATTAAATGAAACAGAAGATTTTACATGTTCAAACTAAGACTGTTGTTTGTACAGTATCTGTTATATAATAACTGTTAATAAAAACTTACTATATTTTAACTGAAAATATTCATTTGTTTATGATTATTATTAATTAAATAAGTAAAATTTGTCATACAAAAGTAGCATAGTTTTTATATTGCATAAATTCTAAATACTGTATTATAATTATTTTTTCTTTTCTTTTTTTTGATAGGTCATGAAATGAAAGAGTGTATTGGATTACCTAAAGAAAAAACTGGAGAGGTAAATGAAGTATTAATAATACGCATTTTTTCCTCTCTCCTTTTTAAAATTACATTCTACTTTTTAGTAATAATTCAGTTTGAAATAATAAATTAATGCATCATTTGAAATTTTTCAAAATTTCAAATGATTTTTGGAATTTAGGATATTTTACATTAGTTTAATGTATATGTTACTGTAAAAGACCGAAATTAGAGAATGTCGATATTCTCCGGTGAATATCGACACATACAAAATACGTCGGTGACAGACCGAATATTTGGTTATACAGTAGACCCCCCTATAACGCTTAGATACGTTCCACGCTAATCAAATTTTACGTTGTAGGAATGATTAAATACATGAGCCAATCGCAGCCCAATAGGTGGGAACTTTACAGACTAAGGCTGTTTGAAAGGTTTTCTTCTATAAAATTAACCGATTCTAGACTAATTTGACTCAACATTTCCAAAACATGTATAATTTTTTGGGAATAATCTGTATAAACTATGCTATAGACAAAAAATTATAGGATTACTTACCGAGTGTGTACCGTTCGACTACGCCGTTGCTCAAAGCTTGTTTTCGTCGCGGAACAGCACACGAAATGGCGGCCGCGATTTCTGATAAATAATTTTTCGCAGAAAAACAACTTGACCTTTGGAGACATCATTAATATAAATAATTTTTATGGCCGTTGAATAAGAAGTGTTTCTTTCACAAGAAATGTATAAAATTAGTGCTGTATTAGACTTACGGTACCTAATTTACATACTGTACAGACGATAATAAACTCAACTTACTAGCCTAAAATCTCCGTAGCGTGTTGCCAGGCGGCAGAAAGCATATATATAATTATAATAAAGTTACAATAAATTAAGTTAATATATAATTATATATACAGTACCTAATTTATATATAATTAATATATAATTATATGTACAGTACCTAATTTATATATAATTTATATATAATACTAAACAGACGATAGCAAACTCAATTTAGCCGCTCCGTAGCGTGGCGCAGGATCGGAGGAAAGTAGTTCCGCTGCTCATCCACTATTGGTCCAGACTCTATCAATCTTGTCGCGAAACGACGTTATAGGAGGTACTTTATACGAATGTTGCTACAATTTTTTTGTTACGTTATAGGAACGCGCGCTATAGGGGAGTCGACTGTATTATATACATTTGAACAATCGCCGGTGTATGTCGACAAGCACAGATAAGCTTCAGTGGAGGTCGAAACGACATCTGAGACACAGATGTCCACAGAGAGGCGACAGTCTGTCGCTAAATTCTTTGCCATTTCTCACTGCTGAAATTGGTGATACTGTACAAATACAAGTCAACGATGTTGACCATGGATGTACAGATGCCCGAAATGTGTTGGCGGTTGTTGTTGGAATAGAAGACTCTGACATTTTTAAATTAGCAAACAAAAATGGTACTCTCAAGCAGCTTTATACCTGTAATCAATTCGTAATTTGTGAAGAAAAGTTACTTTCCATGGATGAGATTTCTTCTCGAGAAATATCACTGAGATAACAGCTGCAGCTAATTTGAAAAGTGGAGAGCAAGGCTATACACGCTGTCATTGCAAAAAGAAGTGTTCTGCGAATAAATGCAGTTGTAAAAGCAAGGGGATCTTGTGCAATTCAAAATGCCATAACAGTTTAAGTTGTTGCAATAAATAAGATTGTATAACATTAATCACATAATTTATTTAGAACATACTGTTTGTTTTAGGTTCAACAGTATATTTACATGCACTGTTACTTAAGCTTTCTCCTATTTTGACATATTAAAATGTTGCATTTTTGTCTTAACGTAATAAAAATATTTTTATTGAACATTCACCATCAGTGCATGCTGAATGTTGACATTTGCCGGTGCAAGTGAGAAATAATAATATTTAGCAAATATTTCGTACATACGCAAAACGACTGTGTGAATGCTGACATTCACCGGAAAATGTTGACATTCACCACATATCGGTTATTCACAGTAACATATATAAATAAATATTTTTATAGAATAAACCATTATTATATAGCATCTAAATATCTGAAAAATTCTAATAATCAGTTTATTTTGTAACATATTCTGGAAAATTTTCAAAGCTTTACACTAGCTTGTCATGTAGCTACTTTTGAAATATAAGCATTTTGCTGTCATGATTTAATTTCATTTCAGTATGGCCAGTAAAATAAATTAGAGTAAAAAGTAAATTAAAAAATTTTTGTTTGTGGTTAAATATGCTACTCAGGTAACAAGAAAGTTTGAATACAGTCAACCCCCCTATAACACTGTTGATAATTCCATTTTATATGAATTCCATGTTGTACGAGTCACTTAGTTTTTACAAATACGTGTGCCGGGCTGTGAACGGCTCACGTATTTGTAAAAACTAAGTGACTCGTACAACATGGAATTCATATAAAACGGAATTATCAACAGTGTTATAGGGGGGTCGACTGGTATAAAATTTTAATGAAATTCTCTTTACAATTATAAAAAAAAAAACACA